AAATTGATTCAGTTCATCACTTAGGACGTTTTGGATGGCATACCCCTAATCTCTGTCACCGCACTGCAAAGAGGTTGATTTTCAATTTACCTTTTTTGTTCTGAATCTTAAATGATTCGATTCTTAATTCAGAGCATTCATCTCGAGTGGATTCAATGATTCAAATACAATGATAAATTGATGTTTGTTTAAAAGTTTTGGAGGGAGGAGGAAGATGTTGTAAAGTAAGGTTTTGAATAATGTCTCATTTGACATTTTAAACTCAAAGTGGGCTGAGCCTCAGATCAACACATGTAGGCATTCTGTGACAGAGATGCACCAAGTGTAAAAGTGGATTGTGTCTATCTGAAAAAATAGAAACCTGGAGGAAAGATAATAGAGAAGCAAAGGGAAAAGGGGCTCAGAAATGAGGGATCCTATTTGCTGTTGTCTCTATGTGTCATACCTCCAGACTTGGGTGGGGCAAAAAGGAGAAATTTGAGTACTCTGATGTGACCTGATGCATGCGTGTTCACACACACCAACGTTCCCCATTTTACATGGGGTGGGAGGCGGAGTGTGGGACACTGAGTCACAGAAAAGCTACATAACTTTGCCTGGAGTTATTTATTAAGTGGCAGAACCATAATTCAGACTTTATTTCAAATGCCATGCTCTTACAACTCTACTTAATGTGTTTGCTTTTCTAGGTTATCTATCCCTCTGCCTCCAGCATTTAATATTATAACGAGGTCACTTTCTTAAATAACTGATAGTTAAAGATTTGCTAGACCTATTTTTTCATGCTTTTTTTTTTTTTTTTAAGTTGTAAATGCCAGTCTTTTCCGTCATCCCTTATTCAAATGCTTAAGTACAGGCGGTGTGCCAGGCCCTGGGGATAAAGAGACCAGGTACTGTGATCTATTTGTTGGTCCCTGTATTAGTCGGGTTTCTCCAGAGAAACAGACCAATAGGGTGTGTGTGCGCGCACGTGCGTACGTGTGAAGAGATTTATTATAAATAATCGGTTCACTTGGTTATGGAGATGGTCAAGTCCCAATGTCCGCCGGGTGAGTCAGCAAGCTGGAGACTCAAAGGAACCAGTGGTATAGTTCCATTCTGAAGTCCAGCCAGCTCAAGACCTAAGAAGAGCCAGTGTTTCGGTTCAAAGGCTAACAGGCGGAAGTAATGCTCTCTTACTTTGGGCAGGGTCAGCCTTTCTGTTCCATTCAGGCCTTCAACTGATTGGATGAGGCCCACCCACATTAAGGAGGGCCATTTGCTTTACTCAGTCTACTGATTCAAATGTTAATCTCATCCAAAAACACTTAGAATAATATCTGGACACCGTGTGGCCCAGTTGACACATAAATTGAACCATCACAGTCCCCAAATTGTTACTGGTCTATAACAACATGAGTACGAAGTTGAGAGTAGTCATTTAAAAACTTCTAGAGCTATTGGACATCAAGCATGTGATCAGTAGACATCTCAATGAGCAGGGTGTAGATGAATTAGTTGAATTCAAGTGATAAATTGCATGTGGGACAAGCTATGTACTAGGCAGGTACATTAGGGCCAAAATTTTATCCAGGATGGATTGGTGAGGGGGACTCTTTCTTCACTGTTTATTATTTGAGATATACTAGTGTGGGCATAGTGTGGGCCAAAAATCCCGTATGATGGTGTTTATAATGACGATCTGTGCACAAAGTAGGGGAGTGGTCCTGGGAGAGACCAGAGCCTTTAAGACATCATGGAGAAGTTCAGAACACACCTGAGGGGGCCAGCCTTTTGCTGCCCCAACCCTCCCCCTTCCCTCCAAAAGGATAGGAATAATCGGAACAAAGAACCAGAGAAGATGAGTAGTCCAGGAACAAAAGTGAGAGTGAAGATGAATAAAGGTAGATAAACCACGACCATGACAGAGCAACGGGCCGTGCTCGTATCAACATCCAGCCACACAACATTGGAGTTGATCAGCCGGGTTAGATACGCAGGGTCCATATGTACCATGAGCGTGGAAAGTTAGAGCTGAGAGGGGCCTGGAGCACACTACACTCTCTTCTGGAAGCGGGAACTGGCTGAGGAAGATAATGTACCTTTAAAACAAACACACAAACCAGAAATCATAATTCTGCCATTTATTGAGTTTTTCTTAGGAGCCAGGCACAGCATGAGTGTTGCCTTCTCCAACATAGGTTCCCCTCCACGAGGCCTGGCATTTACAGTGTGTCTTCATTGGTGACAAATCTACAGTTTTAAAGTGGAGAAAACACTTAGAAGCCTTCGAGAGAGAAGTTTGGTTAAAACCATTTGGGGTTTAAGAAGGGTAGAAATGGACGCAGGATGTTGAAAGCATTTCCCTTGCAGTAACCTTAGAATTATGATTACATAATTATGCCTTTATTTGTAACCACATAATCAAAGAATTATAATTTACTTCCTGTCAACATGTCGAATGTGGGGCTTTATGGAGAGGAGCTAGGGGAGGTGATCGGACCGCCATGGGAAGCCTGCCTGCTCTTCCATTTTGCCTTTGGATGAACTTGGACCTGCCTAAGGCTGAAAGCAAAAAGGTTCAGAGGCTACATAAAAAAGGAAGCTAAGGTTTGTTGGCCACTCACTCCTGTATACCACTCAGAGAACAGCCTCGTGTTTATAAAATTTACAGTCTTTAATATTGTCAACTCATTTTACCCATAATATCACCCACTGCCCCGTTGGCAAGGGGTCGGAGGGACCCTTAGTTCGAGTGTTTCTCAGTGAGAGACACAGTGCATGGTGCTTTGTATTCCGGTGTCTTTCTTAAGCCACCCATCACCCTCGTAAGGTTGGCATTTCTGGTCCCATTTCACAGAAGGGAACACTGAAGCTCAGGATATTTAAGCAACCCCTCCAAAGAACGAACTTATAAATCCCGTTCGTTAATTTTTCAGAGCTTCTGGGACCCTGGTGGACTTCCAGAGTTTGCTGGGTTCCCCCCCAAATGTTCCAGAATTCTCTCACCTTGATTCTAATCCCACTGCACCACAGTAGGGATACAGCTTGAGCTTTTAGAGTCTCAGTTTCCTCATCCGTAACAAGGACACCGACCGCCACCTTCTAATGCTGTGATAACCTAAGACGTCCTCAGCGTGAACTGCCCAGCAAGGTGCAGATACCTGACAGATGCTACACTGCCGGAGCTAGATGCTCATCTATCTCCACCCCTGCTGGAAAGGGTTGTTGTCAGTTGGGAAAACACAATTGCTGTTAGCTGCCTATTCTTTTTCGTTCTCGGTGGAACTAATTTGATTTGGCCAAACAGGGAGACCAGTTTCAAAAGCTTGGGTCGGAGCTTGTAATTGGTTAGCTTAGTGACAGTGCAATCCTAATCAACCTGTGATTTCACGTCCCCACACACTCGCCTCGGCCTTTGATCTGTCGTCCTGGGCAGTGGAATTCAGCAAGTCGTATTTGCTGCATTGATAGGAGAGGACCAGGAGCTCAGGAGTTTAACCCTGAGGTGATTAAGAGGGAAAAAAAAGGAGTCATGTTTGTGAAGACCCAGAGACACATCAAAAAGCCCTGGGCAGAGGCGGTGTAGCACGCAGCACAGGCGAACCCCGCAGGGTGTAATTCACCACATTCTTTGATCCTCAAGTTTTGTGAGTCACACAGACTCTCTGGGACAGTTTGAAAGCTCAGTGGGATCTGGGCAGGAAGGAGAAAAACTCGAAGTATGACAAAAAAGGAATGTGTTTTGGCAGGCGGCTGAGAGAGGGTAATTTGCGGGAGATGTGGTTTTTGCTTGGTAGTCTCTGAGGCGGCCAGCGTGCAGCTGGATCCTGGAATTTCTGCAGCGTGGGGACCGAAGAGCAAAAGCTTTCGGTGTGTCTTCTGTCGCTGAGGCTCCTCAACAGTAAGGATGCACTGAGCGCCTACTGTATACATGGTAGTATGCTAAGTATCCTTGGGAGATGGTTTCGTTTGTTTGTTTGTTTTTTACATGGGTTGTTCTCTTTGTAGCCTATCATGAAACCGCATTTAAGTATAGACTCTACAGTCTTGGGCATAAGAAAGAACTGGGTACAAATTCTGACACCACTGCATTCTGGTTGTGTGACCTTGAGAGACCTACTTACCCTCTCTGCGTGTGATTGTTACATGGAGTGTTGCTGGCACTCACTTTAGTGGTAACAGCTTTTCTGGGAAAACTTTGTGATTGATTATACTCCTACTCTCTTCTTCCTTGTTGCCCTTCATTATTTTACTCTTGGGCTGGACACGTGTCCACCCTTCCAGCATTAATCAGATATCGTGCTGTGTCACCGCAAAGATAAGTAAAGCCCAGTCTTTGTCTTTATCGGATTCCCAGTCTTCACAGGAGGCATTTGATAAAGCATTCGCCCAATGCAGTATGACAGGGACACTTTTTTTGTAGCACTTACGTACAAATATTCATAGACTATGCGGAAGGATGTGTCATTACAATTTGAAGAAGACTTCTCCTGGGAGGTGATGCCTCCTAAAGAGTTTTGAAGAATGAATAGGAGTTCGTATAGGAAGAACAAAATAAACTTAGTCATTATTAATATTTCTTCTTTTACTTCTTTCTTTTTCTGCTTTCTTCCATCTGCTTCGCCCCTCTCTCTTTCCATTCTCTTCCTTCCCCTTCTTCTTCCTACTCATAATGCTTCATTGATATCAAGAATGTCTATCTAGTAACATGCCAAGCTGGGAAAAGCAGACAGTGCATTTAATTAGGAAAAATTATATTATGATTGTGTTCTCTAAACAGCCTGCTAGTTTTGTTTTGTTTTTTTTTCTATCACTGTCATAAGTCATTCTGTTCTCAACTTTGTTCCCAGTTCAGTCTGGCTGCATTCGTTTGTAAAACTCACTTTCTATCTGCTTTCCCTTGTAAGTGGGAGTGTGAAAGGAGCCTCGCTATGTATTATGGTTGTCGGTGGGAGGAGGGGCTGGAGTGTGTTTCATCCGTGGGTTAACTCTTCCCTGGTCTTTCCGCCCCCCCTCAGATGGGAAGCCCGTGTCCCTGTCTCCGCTGGAGTCCCAGCCACACAGCCCCCGGTACACCGCCTCCAGCCAGCGGGAGCGCGAGAGCCTGGAGGTGCGCGTGCGCGAGGTGGAGGAGGAGAACCGCGCGCTGCGCCGGCAGCTCAGCCTGGCCCAGGGCCGGGCGCCCGCGCCGCGCCGCGGCAACCACTCCAAGACCTACTCCATGGAGGAGGGCACTGGGGACAGCGAGAACCTGCGCGCCGGCATCGTGGCGGGCAACAGCTCCGAGTGTGGACAGCAGCCAGCTGTGGAGAAGTGTGAGGTAAAAAGCACCTGGAGCCATCCGAAGGCCCAGCTTCCTCCTCCCTGTGCAGAGGCCACCTGGATGCACCGCCAGGTGCTTGGAAAGAGCCGGCATTCTTGACTCAGGCCTGGGTGTCAGTCTGATTTGGTCCCTAGTTTTGCTGTTTGGCCTGAATAATCGTTTAGCCTCTCTGAGCCTCTCAGTTTCGCCATCTTAAAAACGGGAGTAAGAAGGCCCGCGTCACAGAGGTACTAAGAGGAGCAAACTGATGGGACCAGCTGCTTGTTTCTATTGTGTCTCATGTGGACATGCTCAGGGTTTCTACACCCGGTTGTCATCCTGGGGACCCCTGTTACTTAGACCACAGGATGAATGTCGCATCTGGAGCTGTGGTCCTCAGTCTCATTTTATAAACAGCTTCTGCGATTCAGAACCCGAGACGTCTTCCTTATTTAAACTTATATAGCTTAATAGCTCCCCCACCCCTTTAAAGTATGCTTTATTTCTTAGTAATTCTTTGGACATTTGGAAAAGTTACCCACCGCTTCTCCCTACAGCCCCTCACCCCCTCATCTGTGCGGCCATGCTTATGTGTGTAATGAACACACACACACACACATACGTACACTTCCTGCCTCTTCCAGTTCCCATGGACAGGAGTTAGAGCCTCCCTGTTAACAGCAAGACTTTTTGAGACACATAAAGCCTGAGTTTATAGCTCAGCTTTGGGGGTTTCTGCTAGGAGGGCTTAAGCAAGTTTTCTAACCTCTCTGAACTTCAGATGCCTCATCAATAAACTTGAGAAAGTAATACCAGCTTCATGGAATAATTGCGAGAATTAAATACGTTGGCCATCTAAAGTCACGATAGTACCTCTCCAATTATGGGCAGTTTTTATTATTTTTAGTTAAATACAGATATTACCTACTCTTTCTTCTTTTTCATTTTATGGCCACATTCTCAGAATATTAGATTTCAAACCCCCGAAGAGGAAACACTTTGCAAACTGTAATCTGCCGTTCACACGAATGGGATTATTATTACTATCGGTGATAACTGTACTGTCACAAAGTAATATAGATCGGGCTTATTGAGTGACGCGGACTGAGTTCTGTGGAAGGTCAGTGGCAAGTGAGGAGACTTTGGATTTAAACCGTCAGGGAGAGCCCCTGGGGATAGTAGGATTTCCTGTGGTTTCTCAAGCCTGGTTGAAGTGAGAGATGGTGGAGAGGTGGAGAAAGGTCGATGAGGAATGTCCACGTGAGTAGGACAAATTTGAAGCAAAGCGTTGTCATAGAAAGAAAGGGTTCAGGGCGAGGCGAGTCAGTCAGGCAAGCACAGAGACCCCGGGCAGCAGGTGGTCGCACTACATCATCTTCATTCCTTCATTCATTCCCCAAATATTTATTCTATTTAGCCGCAGTTACGCATGTCACAGTGTTCTCTGTGCTGAGAAATGGCAAGGAATGAAAGAGACAGACTCCCTTTCTTGTGGTTGTTGTGTTTCGAGGTGGGAAGCAGAGGAAGAGATGATAAACAAATAGAGACATCCGAATGTCAGGAGGTGTTCGATGCTACACGGTTTTTTCAGCCCCGACTGCATGCCAGGCCTAACCTCGTTTAATCTGCCACAACCATAGACGGTGGCCTGTTATCGAACGTCTCTATTTTACGTCTTTGAACATGGGGAGTCAGTAATGTTAACAGACTCCCTTGGTTGAGGCTGGTCAAGAGAGGCCCTAATTTGGGGGAACTTCTCTATTTGTCTAGGTAAAGGCTTGTTTGATTTCTCACAGGTTCTCTGTTCTTAGCTTATGGCCATTTGGAGTGTCGATTTGGAGTGACGAAACCGTGGCTCTTAGGTGGGAAGGCCCGGAGGGAGAAATGTTTTTCCTTGAGTGTGGTTCCGTCAGTATGACTCAGGCCTACTTAAAGAACTGAAGAATCAAGAAGATGAAAAGTAGAAAAGGAAAAGGAAAAAAAAAAGAGGGAGGGGGACAAGTGTAACAGAGAGAAACAGGGCATGTCTCTTCCCGCTGCAGTCTGTCTAGATGGCACCTTCGTTCTCCTGCTTTCTGAGAGCTACACATCCTACTTCTGCCCTGAGTGTCCAGCAAGATAGTGTAGACAAAGGCCATTGGAAGCTGAGAGACCTGAGCCTACATCCTGGTGCATTCCCAGCTTAATATCCGTGTGGCGTTGACCAAGTTATATCATTTTTCTGTATCTTGATTTCCTCATTTGTAAATGAGGGGTTAAAATCAAGTTCCTACCTCAAAATCATTTCAGTGGCAACAGTGGATATTAGAACTTTACTCAGACTTTAAGATAGTTTTATTAGCATTCGGTTTCACTGTGGTTTATCAAAAAATTCCGAGTGACAATGGCTTTGCATCTTGTTCGTCTTTATGGTTAAGAAGTCCGGAGGCCTTTGGTGTAGGGATACCAGTGTTGGGGATGCAGGCTTCCCTTATCTTTCACTCAGCTTGCGTAACTGACATTCTCAAGGTCATCTCATGGTCAGAGCTTCAGTCTTGTCATTCACATTCCAGCTGGCAGAAAAGAAGCAGCATTAAGGTGGGGCATCTTTCCTTCATTTAAGAACATGTTTCAGAAATTTCACAGTCAGTTCCTTTTAGAACCCAATGGTAGCACTTCTTTGCCAGGGCTACTTTTAGCTGCCACATAGCTGCAAGGGAGCCTGGAAAAAATAAAATTTTTATTCAAGGAAGCCATGTTCTCCGTTAACATGTTGGAATTCTGCTACTAGAGAGAATAGGTGTCATGGTTACAGTGAACATTCTCTGTCACCTGGGTGGTTCCCCAACTTGGTTGTGCATTAGAAGTACATATCAAAAATGCATATTCAGGGGACCCACTCCAGACCTATTAATTGAGACTCTCTGGGAGTAGTTCCCAAGAATATGAGTCTTAAAAAAGTCCATCCAAGTGATTCTGAGATAGTAGAGACTGTTTGGACACCAGTGCTTGAAGACAACATAATAAATGAGGGGGTGATCTTTATCCCCGTGCTCTTTGAAAGATAATGTAGCAATATAGTATTTCAGACCCTGAGGTTCCTGATTGTTACTATAACTTATTTAGTCTTTTGACCCATATCTGAGAATTAGATTTTATTCATTTGTCTTTCTCTTCCTCTGCATTAATTGATAATATTACTTCTTAGACCCTTAAAAAGCAATTTCTGGTAGAATTTGTCTGTGAAGAACCCCTGGTCCTGCTTAGATCTTCCATAGATGAATTTGAAACTGTTGATCTGCTGGCATCTGTCTACTCTGAGTGCACATTTACCTTGAGATGCTGACTTCATCCCCATTAGCAGTATACTTCCTCTGTCTCCATTTTGTGCCTATAAAAATTTCAGTGAGAAAGCCATAGAGGCGAGCAAGACACGTCAGTCAATGGAGTCAAAATAGAAGCCTCCCTTCATCATGACACCTGGCGGTGACAAGTGCCGAAGCTCGTCTTGACACTCTGTCAGTTGCAGGGTCTCGTAGCGAGGGACTTCACCTTCATCTCTGGTTGCACTGAAATGTCTCCGAGATATGACAAGTATCTCTGAAAACTCTCCTGTAATGATGCCCGGGGTGTCCGCTGAGATATCTGATGATAGAAACAACGGGCCCTTGCCGGTCTTGGTGCCCTCTTATCATTTCTTAATTACGTGGTTTTCAAATAGCTGCCTGTTTGATCCCAGCATTTCTTTTGTCAGGCAGTGCCACTTCTGTGAGGGGCTGGTTTTTGTGTGCCTTGAGACTTGGAGCAGATTGATGCTCTTTGATCTGTTTTTGCACCTATGTGTGTACATTTGTGTGTGTGTGTGTGTGTCATATTTTATTTTCTTGCATTTCCAGTCCTGGTCTGCTTTGGGGGTCAGTGATGGTATAGCAGAAAAATCATTGGAACTGGAGTCAGAGTTCCTGACCAGGAATCTCTGCTTTGCCAATCACTAGTCTGTGACTTTAGACAATTCGGGTACTCCCCCAGAGTCTATTTCATCGTTATAAAATGAGAATATACTTTTCCCAGTGCCATTGTGAGGGCAAAATGAGAGAGCCGGTGGGAAACTAACTTTGTATGAGTGTCGCATACTTATTACGGATACTCCAGATTTCTCTTGCTGTCCAGCAGATCACCTAAAACATAGTGGCTTAAAACGCCTGTCGTTTTATTTAGCTCTCATCATTTCTGTAGGTCAGCGGTTTGGGAAGGACTTAGCAGAGTGGTTCTGCTTTGGGGGTCTTCATACGGATGCCGTTAGTTTGTGGCTGGAGCTGGGACCAGGCCGGGCTGGAACGGTAGGGGCTGGCTCAGCATCCCTCTTTCCTGTCATCAGTGAATGGCGACCTCTCGGAGCAGTCTCCCTGCGTAACTAGTTTGGGCTTCCGCACAACGCAGCATCTCCATGGCAGTCGGCTGCTTACCTGGCAGTGGAAGGTGTTCCAGTGGGCAAGACAGAAGGGAGGCACTTTTTATGACCTGGCCTCAAAGAGCCACATCGTGTCACCTCTGCTTATACTGCAGTCTCTTAGTTGAAACAGTTACAACAGTCCACCCAGTTTGCAGGGGAGTGGAAACCCACACCCCATTTCTCCATGGGAGGGATGTCAAATAAAATGCAATAATTGATATAGTTATTATGGAAAGTCAGGTAAATGGTACTCTCTGATGTCAGGCCACCCTTAAGACAGTATCTCTCTTTCCTTCCACTCCGCACTGTGAACCTCATTTCTTAGTAGTGATTTAACAGTAATAAACGTTCATATTAACTCAACCTTTAAAGTGTACCAGACACTGTGCTAAAGCTTACATAAAACATCTCATTTAATCCACACTACGTACTTTATTATTCCTTTTGCAGATTAGACAACTATTAAAGGGTCAATAATTATTTCAAAGTCACACTGCCAGGAAGAGGTCAATCTTAAGCAGTTTGGTTCCAGAGCCTGTGCTCTGAACCACTGTGCTCAATGCTCTCTGAATTGTCTCTGCTGGGA